TCAAACGAGTAGGTGGCTGCATCGGCTTCAATAAAATAGTAATAAAACGCATAAAGCAAAAGTGTAGAGTAGCCGTAACTTTTAATGGTAAAAAACACAAACGTTTTCGAGCATCGCCCTTCATCAGGTGGTGTTCATCAGGTATATATATATATATATATAGGCCTATATAAAATATATCCAATATTAGAATATATATAACTCGGATATTTCTGCCACTACTGTAACCTTAATCAGCCGGATATAGGCCTATAAAAATGCATATAAAGACTTACCATACAGTAAACTACAGCCTGTAGTTATTCGAATAAAACACGTTCCGAGCATGAATCTTCATACTTACTGAAACTGAAAATATGAACATCAAGAGAGGAATGTAATTATTACAAAAACAAAATCTCTAACGCCTGCCGAAACAAAAACAACTTCGAATATAATAAGGAAAACATACTGGATCAGATAAAATGTATTTATTATCAAAGCCAACTACACGAGCACTGAAATAACAGCGTAGTACCTTTAAGTATGTTAATAGAGGCTCTTCATTGACCCGAATATTTTAACAAGGGCTACGGTTTTGGGATCAATTGCATTATTCTTTTTTTTCTTTTTGGTTTTATCGATGAACTGTATACATTTAAGATTCTTGTCATAGATAGGCATAGGCCTACTACAATAATAATTCGCTAATCACTAAGACATCCTTGAAAATGTCTTACCATGGACCTTATTAAACTAGGTCCAGGTAAGACATTTTTCAAATGGATCGGAATTTTCAGTGTATTTTTATTAGGCCTACATTTCCGTTGTTTGTATTTGATTTTAGCGGCATGAACCATTAAATCCATGCTTTGTGTAAACACGATTGGTTTGGTGATTTTGCACATTGCCATGTCTCCAATCGTGTAAGCTTTGTGTTGAATGAAGATTGGTAGATGGTGCTTTGAAAAGTGGTCTCGAATTAGAGGGGGTCTCTTTGTAAGTAAAATTTAACTTAACCTGTATATTACATAGATATATCCATGTTGCCTTAATTACTTTTACAAGGCGTTAGCTGGCCGTTAGATTGGTAATCCCCTATAAATCACCAAATCATCTCAAAATGTAGCCTACTTTACGTCATTTATAGTGGTTGCCTGCAATTCATTTCATCTTTTATTATCTTTAACAGATCCATTAAGCTACAACAATAACAGTGAAATCTCTTTAGGGTGGTGCTAGGCCGACAGGAATCAGGTTGTAAAAATACGATTGACACATTTCAACTTGATGACGTTCAGTCATGTAATTGATAGGCACAAAACATTGATATTTTGTCACTTGATCATATCGATCCGATAGACTTTACAATATCTAGTTTGTCGTTGCAATACTTTACTCTTGATCTGACCCCTGTGAACTCTTAATGCGCATTGACAGGCCTACCCAGGATATAGGCCTATAGGCCTAAGGTCCTTATTTCCTTGTGTGCTATCGTAGTGCACATAAGTATACCAACTTGAAGTTTCCGTTTACACGGAAAGATTTCCTCCGAATCCCTTTCAAAACAGCAGCACAACTAGTACCTACAACTTAGAGCAAGGACGTGTGTCGATTAACCCCTGTTGTTACTGGTGAATCGATCGTGGCCGTATTGGAACAGCTGCCGAAGAAATTCGATAAGTAAAGAACAAACGCTCCGAACGAAACACAACTCCTAGCAAATTTGTTTCGAATTGACTAAAGATGGCAAAATTATGATGTAAAATTGTGCTTCTGGGACGACATATCAAAAACATTGTGATTTTTGTTCAGAATGTAGAGAATGTTCACAGCGGATCTATAGGGATTTTAATGGTCGGTGTGACGGTTACCGCAGTTGGTATGTACAGTATTCCCAACTTTTATCAACTAGGTTAATTGAATTTCATTACGTTAATTTGAATTCTATATCGAATTCCATCCGATATATAACAAAAGCTGAAGATTCAATCAATATTAATGGATTTATAGGCCCAAAATGCAGTGCTTTCAACAACCAAAATTTGATCGTTAAAGAAAGAAAGGCGTGGTTTGGCGCAGTGGGAACGATTTGGTTCCAACCTCCAGGCCAGGGTTTCAATCCCTCAATTGCTGTGCATCAGTGTTTATTTCATTTGTTAAAGTGAAGTTATACCTTAATGCTAAATTTCCAGTATCATAATATATACCGTAAAACCTTGAATTGAAGCCCAGTGGGCTAAATCTAGAGATGAAGCCCATCTTGAATTGAAGCCCCCTCTTTAGCTTGCAATATTAGCATCGAAAAGAAGCCCATGGGCTTCTTTTCAAAATAGCATAGGCTTCTTTTTGGGATACATTTTTTTTTATATGAACACATTTTATAAGAACACTGAGGCTGAAATTGCAAAAACAAAATGAGGATGAGGTAAATGTCTAATGGGATTTTTGAATTAAAAAAAAAATTATATCTACCTTGTGTGCAGTGGGTAAGTAGTACCCTCTATAATGCAGTACAGTAGGTGTACAACCTGTCATTTGGGGCCATTTTTACCGGGCCATTTTTTTCTCTGGCCATTTTTTCAGGGGGATTTTTTTCAGGGACCATTTTTTGCAGGACCACTTTTTACCTACATTCCAGTACAGTGATACTGCTGTACAATAATATATGTCTGAAAAGTGTGTAACATAAGAACAAAATAAGAACATTTTGAGCCTGAAATCGGCCAAAAAATAAGAAAACTGAGTCTGAGCAAAATTTTACTGGTTCTTATAAAAAAAAAAACGTGTAGTACAGTACATAGGCTTACACTTTGCATGAATTTCAGAAAACAAAAATAAATTAAAAACAAGCTTGGTATAATACATTAGTTTAGGAGATTTAATGCCAGTTAAATACACGTTGATGTTACATTGACTTTATTTATTGTTTAATTATACAAATTCACAAAATTTAGAGCAGATCCTTTTGAAAAGAAACCACCTTTTTACTTTGCCAAAGCTCTTTACTTTGCCAAAATAGTCTCGAAAAGAAGACCACCTCGAAAAGAAACCCATCCAAAGTTCGGCGAAAAAAAAGCCCAGGGCTTCAATTCGAGGTTTTACAGTATAGGCCTAGACCCCAAATAAAACTGTACCATGTCTCTCGAGTCTAATTACGTTAACGGTTTATTTGTTGGATACCGGTTACTGTAGTAATTACAAGCCTGGTTGCATTTCTAGTCTAGCGTGGAGCTAAGAGATTGGTGGTTAATCCTTCTAATCAGTGGAAACAAATCCCGTTTAAAATAAACTAAAATCTCCATGTAATCTCGTCCCGCTTTTGGCGATATGACACGTTGAAAAACGAAACGCGTTTAGGCATACTATAATCTTATAGAATGTGAAGAACGAAACGCGTTTAGGCATACTATAATCTTATAGAATGTGAAAAACGAAACGCGTTTAGGCATACTATAATCTTATAGAATGTTTAGGCCTATTGTTTTGCAAATGAGCTTATAGTATAGATATTTGATATATTAAAAAGAGCATATTTATTGCTAAACACGTCAAAATCTTAAGTACATTAGACCATGGAGGTATACCTCCATGATTAGACTAATACCTAATCATTTTTAGTTATTTATTTTATTTCATTTCATAGGATTTATATAGCAGAACTTTGTGAAAACAGGAAACTGCTCAAGGCGTTTTTTTCCCCAGGACATTGGATACAGAAACAATAATAGGCTTACACAACGTGCAAGTGGGAGTATTCCTAGCTTGGATGTAGTTCAACAGCACTAATTTTTATTCCAAATCATTCTCTTACCAGGTACCCATCTATACCTCTAGTGGCCAAAGGACAAACAGCGTGACGAACACCAGTCTCGCACCCCGGATCTTCCGATTGAAGTCCCAATTCCTTCTGCGCCATAGGATGCGGGACCACGCGACGCTGTGTTTACAGTTATACTTGCCACAAGTCTATTATTTTTTATTTTTTTGCTCATTCTGGACAGCGCCACAAACGAGAAAGTTAATTTAGAGACGGAAAAAAAAAGAAATCGAGTATGGGACGCCAATTAAATTAAATTAATTTAATTAAATTAGGTATGGCGCGCACTAAGTACAATAAAGACTGAGTAACCCAAAATTAGGGTCTGGAACCCAGGCTATGTTTACAGTGTACAACGTTCAATATGTTAAAGACCTAATTCATGATAGAGTATTTTTGGTTTCTACAAACCAGAGGTACGTCTACAATCAGACCTAATTCATGTCTAAAGCAGATTCGGTTGGCAGTTACAGCAACTTCGAATATCGAAAGACCTTAATCAATCGTAATTTCAAAAATCGACGAGTAGCTCCGATACTTTCTTAACTGTGTCGCCATATGCATGTCGCTGTATTCGTGTTCATCCATTTTATCCTCTTTTTAGTCGGAATATACATATAAAATAAAGATTAACCGTTTTTATAAGAAAAAATGTAGAATGTAAAATTATTAACAATATTACTAGCAGTGGGAAAACTTTAAAACCATTAACATCAATTATCCAGATTTATTATTGTTCGAGTGGACCAAATTCACTGTGAATTTCAGCTCGGGTTTTATAGGGCGACTGTTTATTAACATTAATATTCCCAAAGAATTCTGGTTCTTAAGATATAGAGAGTAGTAGAGAAATTATCTGTCTTGTTGAACCAATTATTTACTTACCTTAGCAAAGGTTTCAGCAACTGTTTCGGTGGCTTTCTTCAGGCTAATGAACCCTTGAATAAATTGGGTCATTCACACTTATTGTTAATAATAATAATAATTATTATTATTATTATTATTATTATTATTATTATTATTATAACAATAAGAATACCATTATCAATATCATTGTCAATGTCATCATCAATCATTATTTTATCATGACCATGATCATCAGCATCAACATAATAATCATAAAACTGTATTGTTATTATTTATGTTATCATCATTATTAGTAGTAATATAAATTGTATTATTATTATTATTATTATTATTATTTACCTGTATTATTGCTAATAATATTATTTTTGGTGACATGTTAGTATTTAGCTTCTGGTTTTCTTGTGATGAAAACTATTTATTGGTTTGATTAAGCCTATTTCTAACACACAGAGTATTAATTCAGCCATTATATGACCGGCTCACACAAAGACATTTTTCCAAAGCTAGGCCTAGCGGATTGACTTCTTGGCAAATCTATGTCGATGGTGCTATTAATTTAAGACTGATATATATTATACAGCTTAAATCGACGATAAAGTGTTTCACACACGATCCTTCGACCGACACCCATTTTAGTGGATAGACATTATGAACAAACGAAAAATCTAACTGCCAGTTTTTTCATAGACATAAGTTCTTTCTTTGCAATTCAAATTAGGATTTTAAAGGTATCTTATTATGTCTTTCAATTCATAGTTAGGCCTATTTCTGTTGGTTTAATTACCTTTATAGCGGCTTATTTTTAGGCAGGTGATATACAAACGTGAAATTATATGGTGACAGAAATAATGTTAAACCCAAGTGAATTTTACATTTTAATAAGAGAAACCTTTAAACATATTACAGTACCACATTGATTAAATAAACAACCGTCGTAGTTAAACAAAATAAAAATGTAGCCTACTATTACGCTGTTCAATTATGTATAAATATACAGTGTCTGTTTATGAGCTGAAAAATTGAAAAATAACATTATACAAGTAATTTTGAATTTTTTAATTTGTATAATTAAATAAGTTATTAACTTACAAAGGACAGTGAAGATTAAATTTGCTGTATTATTTTGCATCTGTAAATCAACGAAAACTATTTATTATATGTTTTTCTGGTTGGAAGTTAATATTTTTTATATTTATTTAATTGAGATATTAAAATGTTGGTTGAATTTTTAGAGGGTTAAAATAGTACGTCTTTATTAAAATCATTGTATATCCGCCATACGGTGTCGTGCTTGAGTCACATAGGGAAACATCTCTGTGTGGAAATTATAGTAAATACAGGATAGCAAACGTATACAACGTAACTTAATATCGTATTTCATTTTTTAAATGAGGAATCTAATAGGCTTAACAATTTAATTACTTTCTAGGTATAAAATATTTACAAGCGTGACTGTGGTTATGCAACGTTCCAGCGCAAACTTATACATTGTTATTATGAAGTCGCGAATGCTACCTCCATGGATGTACCGGTAATTTTACCAATATGGCTGCACTTATTGTAGGCGGTAGAACCATGCAGGACATCGTTAGAACCGTGTACCGTGTTTAACTACGGCGGTATCGTGTACCGCTATGTGACAAAGTAACGCAGTAAATATATTTGCCGCGCATGTGTATTGAAACGCATTTCATATCGTGATTTCATTTTATTTTATTTTATTTATTCGTCGCAAAACATAGTATTTATACAAACATTAAGACAATAACATACGATAACAGGATAAGTTAAAACGCAAAACAGGTACCCATCAAAAATGAACAAAATTCAATGCCGGGTGGGGCCTACAGCAAAAATGACAAATGTAGGGCCTATACAAAAACAATATTTATGGTAACATGGACGGATGTACTGGAACGCAACTGTAGTCAATATCACTAAACGCTAGTTTAGTATGTTTATATTAAAACACAAGAGGATAATGTTTTCATTCTGATTGAAATACAAGTACAGTACTCTTAAGCCTAAGGGGACAGCAATGTTTATCTAAATATAAAGATGCCTGCTTGACTTAAAAAACGGTTATATAGAATTCAGACATATTTAAATTCAGGAATAATTCAAATCTAGATTTATCGAATGAAGATGTAGAATGTTAAATGATCTTTGTTACGAGGAAAACCTGCAGATCATGC